TAACTTTTTTAAAAATGAACGTATCAATATAATTTTTTTTTCATAGATGCTTGATGTCTTTATTAATTTAACTCTTTACCAGCTCACAGGGGTAGATTTAAAATGACAACTTAACTTTTGAAAATGTTCCGGAAAGTCTGACACTTTTACTCAATTTAAGATATATATAAACTTAAATTAAAGCTAATGTAATGTAATTTATTATGGAAAAAAGAAATTTGACCTCTGGACTTGTAATCGTGGTGAAAAAAGAATTTGGTATATTTTTTTTTTAAACCTGACCCTTTATCTGCCTACAGGGGGGGATTTAAAATAACAACGTTTTCACAATAAATTAACTTTTTCAACTTAACTTTTGAAAGTGTTCCGGAAAGTCTGACACTTTTATATATATCTTAAATTATAGCTAATTTATTATACTTTATTATGGTAAAACGGACTTTATCTTGTCTTCACGGTGAAAATGGCTACTGAATGCTATTTTTGTGTGAAAATTCTCGATTTTGTAATTTACATTTTTTAAAATTTATTATGCTATAACTTGTTGAAAAGTGTATGGATCAACACAATTTTTTTATGTGAAATAATATTTTTTAGTAATCCTTTTTTCATTCAAGATATTATTAAGGAAATAGCAGATCATGTAACTTTTGGAATAATCCACCAATTTTTTAAAATTAAACATTATCTATAGATTTACATGGTAGCGTTATTTTTGATAGTGATTTTAATCACTGTCAGATATCATTATACTTGATCCAACTTTGCCACGTCACCACTGTGCTGTGACCCCCTATTCTGAGTTTTTTTTGCTTTTGCTCTTTTTAAACTATATTTATTTTTCACTTTTTAGTTTCATGTTATGATTATAGTTACTATTAATATTATTGTTTTAACGAGTAATGGGAAATCAGAATTCGCTTTCGGAGATGGATTCTGAGATACGGCTACCACATCCAAGAACATCCCGGAACGTGTAGGTAGTGACGAAAAATGACGATACGGGAATCATCATCCTCCGTAATCGGAATGAATACACTTTATATCTCTAAATGAGAATAAAGCGTGTTAATATATAGGGTGTTCAGTAAAGTCAGTAAGTAATTGTTTGTAACAATGAGAACAATAGAAACCCGTTTCCTGACTTACTGAACACCCTATATAAATTTTAATAGTAATTAGAATATATATATATATATACATGTAAAGTGACTGAAGTACGTAAATATATAGTATAGTAGTATAGTAGTAGTAAATATATAGGTCGGGCGGGGCGCAGGGGAACGTTGTACGCGAGAAATATGCGGCGGCTGTAGGAATGTATAAACAATTATATATATATACATACATACATATATATAGTAAGGCGGCATAAGTACGTAAAAGTATTGTGCACTAGGTATAGCCTTTGTTTTGTGGGCGGCCGGGGCGGGGGTACTTTATACCTGAGGTATAAACGGCGGTAGGAATATATAAATATATATACTTAAGGCGTATGGCACACGGGCGGTATAGGTCAGTCAAAATAAAAATTTGTTTTTATACAGGGTGATTCATTAAGGATAAAACACTCGTTTACTCAATAACTATTGAAAATTTTTAATTTTTGGTAAGGAAAATATTGTTTGATTAAAAAAACATGATATTATGACATCGATATTAACAGGTACACAGCATTGTTATTATCAATGGTAGTAAGGTACATTGTTGTGAGTTTATAAATACACTAACTGACAATACAGAAAGTATATCTATTGATAGTCATAATTGATAATGAACAATCCGTGATAGCTATGTCATAAAAAAACAAATAGCTACCTGTATTTGTAATCCCTTGTGTATTATACATATATATTAACTCAAAAATTTGAAACTTTAATTGTTTATATCTAATAAATAAATATAGTTATATATATANAGGCACAACACGTGGTAAGAGTTCCCAATCCAGTTCCGGCGCATTGCAGTCACCTGTCATTGTTTATTTTGATTAGTCAGTGAATGGGTCCCGGTCCCCATTAATTCGGATAATTGGAGTTCTACTGTAGCTACCTGTATTTGTAATCCCTTGTGTATTATACATATATATTAACTCAAAAATTTGAAACTTTAAGTGTTTATATCTAATAAATAAATATAGTTATATTAAAAAACCAAATGCCATTTGCTATTAAATTAAAAACTCAAACATTTAATTAAATTAAAAATATGTGTTCCCATTTAAAAAAAATCAAGTTAATGTTTTTTAACCTTGAAGGGATGAAAAATATCATATTTTCACTACATATTATTGTAGTGTTTTTTTAATCAAACAATATTTTCCTTACCAAAAATTAAAAATTTTCAATAGCTAATGAGTAAACGAGTGTCTTATCCTTAATGAAAATATAAAAAATCACTAATTTTCGACATTTTTTAATAATAATCAAATTAATATAATTTATTTTTATAGATGTTTGATCTCTTTACCTTTCATTTGGTATATTTGTTTTGTAAATCTGACACTTTATCTGCCCACAAGGGGGTCAAAAGTGTAAGTTCGGTTTATTACGGTTTACCTAACATCATATTTTGATGACAAACCCTCGTTTACGAGTATCGAATTGCGGCTAAATAATTTTACATTAATAAACTCATTATTATTTATTTACTAAGCTGTATGATTATGTCTAGATGTGATATATTCTTGGCAGTATCAACATGCAACTTCTATAATTTGGAAAAGATCCATTAACATAGGAATTGGTGTAGCAAGAACAAATGAAGTTGCAATTAAAGATAAAATGGTAGATGGACCATTTTATGTTATTGTAGCAATGATACATCCGAAGCCACATGTATTGGGAAAATATAAAGAAAATATAACACCTAGAAATCTTGATATCATGAAACATGATGGTTATTTCGATTTTCTTAAAGAAGAAAAAAAACGCGACAAAAATGTAATTAAATACAAACTGCAGTCATATGTCAAAAAACTTACGGGATCTTCTTCTAAAAGAAATGTCAGCCTTGAAAAAAAAGAGGATTAAACGTTCAATAGATTCTTACTTTGTTTTTGATGATTATGCTGTTGAAAATAGTGTTTAATTATAACTAAATTAATATTTATGAAAAATTGTCCATATCATTATTATTATTTGTACGACTTAAATTTAGAATTCTTAATTTATATATTAATGATTCTTTAAAAAACATTCAAAACACTTATGAAATCGTTATTTATATATGGATGCACTCTTTTAATAAATGTATGTTATTAAACATCATGCGTAATAAAACATTTAGTCACAATTAATTTTGTAATATAATTTCTTAAGATACTGGTATGTAAGATTGTTGATGACCCATATACAAAAGCGTATTCACATATTTTCTGCCTATAGGCATTTCAAAATTTTCCACCCTTCATTACGTTATGCGGAACAGAAAAATATGTATATGTTATAAAAATTATCATTTTCAAAAAAACACCTTTGCCAAAAAGATAGCGAATTAATTTTTAAATTAACACTGTGCCGCGATCCTTACTATACTATTTTTTATGTGTCTGCCACTACTTTTTCCAGCTCTCACTGGACCGATTTTCTCAACAATACATCAAGAAATCAAAAATCGTATCTAGTTCAAGATGTTATCTTTAAAAATTGAAATTTTCNTTTAATTATAACTAAATTAATATTTGTGAAAAATGTCCATAACATTATTAATATTTGTACGAATTAAATTTAGAATACTTATATTTATAATATAGAATACATATATTTATGATTCTTTAAAAAACATCAAAATACTTTTGAAATTGTTATTTATATATGGATACACTCTTTTGATACGTGTATGTTATTTAACATCATGCGTAATAAAACATTTACTCACAAATAATTTTGTAATACTGGTATATAAGATTGTTGATGAATTGTATACAAAAGTGTATTCATCTACTTTCTGTTTATAGGCATTTCAAATTTTTCCACCATTCATAATGTTATGGGGGGTAAATTTCATGTTATTTTAGCAGTAACATATCCTAAGCTATGCGTATTGGGAACATATAAAGAAAATATAATACCTAAAAATCTTGAAATTATGATATATGATGGTTACTTTGTATTTCTTCAGGAAGCAAAAAAACGCGAAAAAAATATAATTTGATAGGAACTCGAGTCATATTTTAACTTATATTTTTTTGGTTATTTTTTTTATATGTTAATACTCATTTTAAACTAATTATTAATAATATCAAAAATTAGTGGTAATAGAAAAAATCTAATTGCAGAATTGAAATCAGCACATAAAATGGGTTTAGAAAAGTATATTTTTTACTCTGATGAAAAGTCTTTGTAGACTATTAATTCATAATTAACCACAAATAATCTTTTGAATAGTTTTGTTTATAATATTTCTATATTTATACTCATTTACCATAAAAGTAACAACTACTGTGTAATATTTTATAATTTCTCCGTAAAAATTCTATACAACAATACTAAATTGTTAAATATCAATTTCATACTATATTTAATTGATTTAATAGATATTTAATCATATATTATTCTTATTCTTCATAGAACTACTATTTAGGAATAAAGAAGGAAATAGGAGTTAATTTTGTTTTTGGATTAAACCACTAATTTCTTAAAATTAATTACTATCTACAGGTTTGCATCAAAGCGTTTCTTAAGATAGTGATTTTAATCACTGTCAGATAACATGTATACTTGTCCCAACTATTCCACGTCCATACTGTGCTACCGTTTTTTAGTTTTTAAGGAGATGAGCAGAAAAATTTGTATATGTTATAAAAATGATCATTTTTCAAAAAAATACCCCTACCAAAAAAATATTGAATTAACTTTTAGAATTAACATTGTGCCACGATCCTTCTGTGCTACTTTTATTATTTCTGTCATTACTTTTTTTCAGGTGTCACTGCACCGATTTTTCTCAACGATACATCAAGAAATCTCAAAACGTATCTAGTTGAAGATATTACCATTAAAAATTAAAATTTTTCTCTCGTTTCCCGTAAATAACAGAAATCCTCCAAAAAATTACAAATTTAAAAATCGCTAATTTTCCACATTTTTTCAATTTTTTTTACTTAAAATTGCCATAACTTTTTTAAAAATGACCGAATCAATATAATTTTTTTTTTGATACCTTAATTATTTACTTATCATTATATATATATATATTATTACTATTACTTCAATTTAAGTTATCTAGTACGATAAAAATGTATAAAGAATTAATCTACTTTGATAAATTTACTATAAATAGTAATTATAAAACTTCCTAACTGCATATTAATCTTAACCATACAATTTTTTTAATTCTCATAAAATTTTCTATTTAATGTTGTCAATTTGAAACATGTATTGAGCTATAAGTTATGGTAACATATTCTATTTTTTATTTACTATAAACTTTCACAAAACTTTATCGAACATTTTTCATTAATTTTAAAGAACCAAAAAAATAGGTTAACAAAATTTGGACTGATTATTTTTAAAATATTAAAAATCAAATCAGTAATAATTTGAAAACAAATTTTTGTTTCTTTTAATTATTATTTATATGTAATTAGTAATTATATATAAAATTAGAAGTGATAGAAAAAGTCTAATTGTAGATTCGAAAATAAGGCGAAAAGTCCAGTGTATTTATTCATAAGTAACAAAAATTTTTCATTAAAAAGTATTGCATCAATCCCTTTAATTTTTTATACACGTAAAAGTTAAAGGAATATACAACTACTTTTTTATTTTTATAATTTCTCTGTATAAATTGCAATATTGAATTATTGAATATCAATTTCATACTAAATTTAATAACTATAATTAGTATTTATGCATATATTATATTTTAAAATCAAAGAACTAATAACTAAAGTTACTAATCAGGATATAATTAAGGAAATAAGAGTTGATGTTGCTTTTAGAATAATCCACCAATTTCTCTAAATGAAACACTATCTACAGATTTGCATCGAAGCGTTTCAGCAGCTATATCTACAGCTTAGATATAGCAAGGGCTGAATGGAATAAATATTTAAAATGTGATCACTTACAGTATATTGGACGCTATAATGGAATGGAAGATGATCTAAACATAAATTCTAAAATAAAAACACAGTATTTACCTGGAATAAATAATATTAGAAATTAGCATAATGTAGAACCTCTAAAACAAAATAATGATGTAAATAATTTTTAAATAAATAGTATTAAGTATAGGTACAATAAAACAGGTACAGTTAAAAGTTTTTACTAAAATTTCTTATCTTGTAATTTATTATAATGTATACATTTAAAAGTTAAATGAAAATTATTTATAAGATTATACATATCTTTATTATAAAATTATATATACAGGTATGTATATATAATACATATAACATGTTAAAAATTATATTCATTATAAATAATGTTCATTATTTGATAACAATTATTGGACCAGTTTCCAAAATTATTAACAATTTAAAGTAAATTCAACAATTACTTAACAAAACCCGCTCTTCACCTTCAAGCACGGGTTTTGCTATTTTCATTACTAGACATTTCCAGGCCGTACTTATTTCTGTTGTCCAGCTATAAAAATGTTAAGAACTTTCTAAATAATGGTCACATATTTTATTATACTACATATATTTTGATTATTTAATTAAAAGTGCTGCAAGTTTATATTTTGAAACTATTGTAGGGATTAACAAAGATGTTAAATAACATGTCACAATGAATGCGTTTATATATGTTTATATGTTTTATCTTAGATGTACTGCAGTACGATAACACTCCGTGTATTTTTTTTATTCTCGCGCTGTTCGTCAATCCAGTGACACTTTTTATTTGTACTCTTTTTTTATGTACGTATAAAATCATTTTTCATTATTAAAAAGTATTAATTATTATAAATTTTAATTGTAGTATTTTGTAATAAATATAAACACCAAAACACTACAAAATCATTTATATTACTTGTATAGTAACATTTTTAACGTTCAATAATGTAGTCCATAGTTGGATATTTTTGCACAGTCATATGCACATTATACATAATATATATATATATATATATATAT